AAGTGCCGCAAGAATTTGATTGTGTTTTAGACACCGAAACAGACAATAGAGTGAGCGATGAAATACTCAAATACCAGAAAGAGATCCAAAAGATATCGTATTTATTGCGAGAGAAGAATCTGGTTATCAATAAACTAATGATTGCCTTATCTAATCAGACCCAGGTTTGTTTTGTGTCTAGTTGTGTGCCACCGAAAATATATGTACACTATTTTCATTCAAAATATTATTATTGTATTCAATTTCTGTCTACTTGTTTTATATTCTTATGTGTCACCACATATAAAATGTTATTTAATTATGAGTTATTTACTCAATTTAGTGTGTATAATATTTTTGACTCCGTATGGTAAATACAGGTATATTATACACAGTAACAAATTGAACATTAGTTTTTAATTAAATAAAAACATAACTTTTAGAAACAAACAACTTTTATTTGATTAAAAATACATTATACGGCTAAGAATGTATTACTATAATATACTATTATATAATAATTTCAATAGGTTAAGACAGATTAAATATCGATTCATACCGTTGCGAAACAATGTGTTATTATAATATAATATACCATTTATAGAGACTATAAATTATAATTAAGAACTAATTTCTGGAAAGTTTGGTCGAAAAAATTAATGCATTTATTTTGTATAAATTTAAAATTAATTAATGAATTGATTACAAGTTTAATGTTTTCCCGTAGGAAATGATTAATTTAGAGAAGGCTTATCACGCCTTAAGACAACATATCATCGCGACTAAGAGCAAGTGATTGTAATATTAATAATAAGTTACACATAATCTTCACTTTCAAACAAATGAGCCGTCAATTCAATGCACTGATGGATAATTCACAGCAATTCACTCAATAGTCTACATCCTTATACTATAGCCAAATGGGAGTCACTTTGATTATAAGACAGCACACATTGACGGGAATTTTTTATATTTAACTTTTTATTTTGTAGTATATTTTATTTAGATTTAATATTTTATTAATTAATTGTATTATAAGAAATTATTTTAATTAAATTCTTATAAATAGAAATATTTTCATTTAGATATCATTTAATATTAAATGTGATGTGCTGTATATAAACATATTTGTAATTAAATTTTATAAGAATTCATTTCAAAATATATATTTCCGGTAGTTATTTATTAGGATTCATTGGGGAATGAATCAAATTATGTGTATTTAGACGTAAGATTTCAAATAATATTGTGAAATAAAATTTAAACAATTCTTGGAAAGTATTTCGAAAACAAAACACATTTTTCTTTATTAAAAATCCGAAATAAGTTTCATACGAAACAAATTTTAAATTTTCAACGGAAAGTAAATTATTATGTTTTGAATATACAGTATATACTGTATATATATTTTTGTTGTTTTTTAGACAAAAAGTGATTTCATAAGAATCACTAAAACATATTCTGTATACCATATGAAATACTCTTTACTATATATTGGGTACAAACAACTTCATTCACGTAAGAAA